TACTTAGACAATATAAAACCTCTTCCCACTTGAGGGGTAAAGCTAGCTGATATAAGAATCAGCAGATTTTTAATGAATTTTGGTACCCTTTATTAATGCATAGCATAAGAATGTATTGACACTCATATTTCCTCTTATCCCTTTCGAATCCCCATCATCTCCACTACAAATAATATTTTATAGTTAAATTTCTTCAGTAAATGTGCTAGAAGGGCTGCGTAAATCAGTAATTCAAGCATTCCTAACCGGTTATTTAATTCTAATTCAGAATTGCCTTATATATGAAATATATTTATCATATGTATTCCTAAATTATACTTAAGTGATTTAAATATTATTTACTATATCAAAAGATCGGACAAGTCTTTTTATTCCTTTAGAGGCTTTTTTAACTTAAACCGAGAGAACAGTGATTTAGCTCCAGTGAGGAATAGTTAGATTTAGCTCGTAAAACCCTTATGCAATCCGCAAATCACCATAGGTCTACTCCACAAAGCATATTTGAGTTATCTACTATTTATGAAATCGAAGCGGCCCTAAAGGTTTATGATTCAACAAATAATTCATCTAAGGCAAAGTTGAACGAGATTTATTCACCCTATTTTGTTCAAGGTGACGAAGGACTGGTAGTAGAATTTTCCCACAATGATATGATTAGAGCTGACGTTTCCTGGTAGTCTCGGAACTCTACTAAAATACGAACAATAAAGTTGAACGATTATCCATTCTAAAAATAAGTCCGTTTCCAAGTTGTCTTGTCATTAGATGGCACTTAATGTATTTGTGAATGCTCATCTAATCATTAATGTCGCTACGATGCACACTACGCAGTATCGAATCCTGTTTGAGGCGCTGATAAGACCTGGAAAAGTCGAGACTGAAGTTTAATCGGAATAAGAGAACCCTTTTGAAAGCAAAGCTAAGTAAAATTTATCGGAACAGTGAAGCCTTTTCATATACTTGTGATAAAACTCAGCTATCTATCCTTCATCATCTCATGTAATTTGGGCTGAGAATTCTTATTCAGGATATACTGATTGTATCGAAACTGAGACTCTATTGCTCTCGTAATTAGTAGTGAGAATGGAAGAAGAGGAGAGGACTCGGATCTAGCTATCATCCATTGATCTACCCAGACGGGAAATGAAATTAGAAGTGTGTGAGAAAGTGAGTCCCTTGAGACTTAAGATAGCCTATGGGATAGCAAAGCATTAGACAATCTCTATTCGATGTTATCCGGTAAGAGAAACTAACACCTTTTACATTTATGTTACCATAGCTATGAAATTTGGCATAGGGCTTTTTTGCGAGCTCTTTACTAGGAGTGCTATAGTCAGAGGAGTTGGCTTAATATGTTATTTACTTTCTAGGATTTAAATTTCTTCGAACGCATACTGAATAACCACTTTAGTATAAAAACTGAAGCATAATTCTGATGGTCTATTAAAGCCTCCTTAATCCTGACTAAATACGCAATCGTGCTTTTACATAAAGGTAATATTTATAACGCGTAGCACGTTTTTAGGTGAGGTTTCAAGGCATTTAAATAAACATTGTAAAATAACATTGTTTATTTCTTTTTTAGCGTGTTATTAGGCGACTAGTTAATTATGTGTGTTGTAAGCACATTTAGTGCCAGATAGCGACTTGGTCTCTTTCGATTTCTTTTGTATCTTTTAATAATAGCTTTACAACGAAAATATTTAGTAAAATCACCTATATACTTAATAGCCAGTTACGATTCATAATGAAATCCTCAGATGACTCCCAGAAGAAGGAAGTAGGTTTCATTGTGTTCTTAAATTGCTTTATAATAGCCTGATAGCTTTAAAAGGAAAGTTGGGAAAAGATAAATTCTAAATTGCATCTAAGACACAATCTATTCTGAAAAAAAAAGCGAAAACTTATGCAAGAATTATTATGGGCAAAAGTTCCGCACAGAAAGACTCCATTATGCATAGGAGCAATACATGAGATTCATTAAGATGTACATTAGCAATTAGTTATTCAATACAATTTTACTTAAACGAGATAATTGTAGTAGCCTTCTTAATAGATATAAACCTACAATAATGAATGACTCAAATGAAATGCATCCTTAGACGCAAAAAACACAATCAAATTGCCTAGTTAGAAAAATGATTTAAAAGCTGGAAACAAAATGAAATCGACAGTTTGACCAATTTAATTTGCTTATTAGATTCCTATCACAAATCAAAAAGCCTTTTCCGAAACGCTTTTCTGTGAAGATTACCGATTAAATAGTTAATTAAGAAATATAAACTTTCATCGATGGATGATCACATCACTCCCATTAGGATATCTAAGCCCAAGGTAAAGGTAGCTGGGCGACAGATTTTAATGCCTCAGAAGTAGTTCTCAAGAAACTTATCTGTTTTTAATGGAACAATAGGATATCTTCACTCTTGAATGATAATCCATAACAAATCAATAACACCTCACTAGGGATATTTGCTGTTTTCATTTTATAAGCCTTTTAATTTAAGACTAATCGCTGAAAATCTTCATATATCTTCGCATTCGTTATTCTGAAAGCATAGCTTTATTATAAGGATAAATAAAAGGTATCATTCTGTCTTTGTTTCCATTTGTCAAGACAATTCTCCAGCCTCTCTTACAGTAATGGTAGCTTCAATTAATTTTTTCTTTAAATGGAAAAATTGCGTTAAATTTAGAGTATGTTTGACCTCATTTCCACAGACTCATTGCAGACTTGGAAGAACGTTCTCAGTGCTGCCTAATCTGCGATTCTTTGAAGACCCCTGATAGCATGAGAGGTTGTGAAAATGAGGTCAAACTAATTCTAGTCATCGTATGAAAATTGTGTTCGAATTAAAGGCCATTAAAGGTCTTTGTGTCTAGATTCCAGTACTTTTGATACAGAAAGAATGTTATAATAAAAAATCCCATATTTGCCATGGTAGTGCCAACAGGTATGTGAATGTTACCTGTACAATTCGTTATTGGCCAATATTCTCCTGATGGTATTTGTATAAGAGATTTGAATGGACATCTGAATATAATCCAGTCCGACCTGTTTAAATGCCACATTTATAAGCCATATTCATTTGATTAAGCAAGTTTTTCTCAATATTAACCTTGAGTTGAGTCACTGTTTTTACTTAGAGCTTTAGTGGGCCTATTTTGACCTTTATTCTTAGATCCAATAATATGATGCTAAGAACTATTTAGCATATTACTTGATATCTACCCCAAATAAACTGTTTGAAAATGGCTGATGATGCTCGATATATGCTGAGGGGTAGAGCTCGCATCTTTGCCTCGGTATAATAAAAAAAATAATAATAATAATAGTTAATATGAAGAAATTCTGAATGATGTTGATAAAAAAATGTCTTTCCGTTTTTTTAAAAAATAATAGCCATTGTTTATAAAGGCTTTTTTCATGCATAGCAATATTTTGCGAATAACAAAATATGGAATATGGCAAGGGTTTTACTCCATATAGAAGCTATTTTACCAGGGCATTTTCGCTTTAATTAATTTTAGATTAATTATCTACTGAACCACACATTATGGATTGAGAACAAATTATTTCAAAAATTCATTATTCATATTGTATCGAAACCCCTACTTTTTCATGCGGGAAAACTAAAAATCACTATAATACTAGTCCTTTAACTATAAGACAGGTAAAAATCCAGGATTTGATCTCTCAATTATCTTTCTGTAAGAAGAAGTATTATATTCTATAAAAACGTCACTTTCTTATTTCACAAAAATAGTAATTGTTTCCTTAAATTTGAATTTCGGTACAGATCGCTTGCATTTGTGTTGTTCATGCAGCTTAAGCTATAGGCTTGCTTGCTCAAACAGAACCAGAGAATAATTCTTGACAATTTCTTGAAAATCGCCCAAAAAATAGCTTAAACAAATTCATAATAAACTTTAATATGTGTGTTATGTAAGTATGCTTTCACGCCTTTAAAAATGTCAGGGTATAACTTTCATAGTGTCAGTGACTGTTTATGGTAGTAGGGAAATCATGGATATCCATTAAAAATAAATCCATTAATACTATCTCGTCAATAATTGTCGAATGTATTTTAGGTCAATCTTGCTTTAAAGTTTTTAATAGCCAAACTAACCTACCAATGGATGAATAATTGTATGTTATAAAGTAGATAATACAGTAAAGATTCATGCTGTAGCAATTTAATTGCGGATAAACTTAAGTTCATTTGATTTATAATGATTCATGATGTGTGAAAGAGTCAAATAGGCCTTTCAAATTAAGGTAAAATAGCCCTTGTAGCCATTTCTAAAACTGCTTTTCATTTAATGAAGGTTACTTCCCATAATGATGACTCTTGAATAACAATGGTGCTATGAACTTTACAAAAATTGATTCAATTCTAATATAACTTTTTATAATATTTGCAGAAATATGCTAGTTTGGCTATTTAAATCGTAATATTTTACTTATGGTGCTTTATTTTGTTTTGCCTTTGTACTTTTGGATATTTCGGGGCACAAATCGTTTTAAGTAAGTTTTTTCTGAACCTCGGCTTACCCCATTTCAAACTGCTTCATGTATTGTATTTCGGTGCTTGACTGGACTAGATAATTTCCTTGTCGTAAGGTCAACGTCGGAGATGGGTGGCAATAAGTATTATGAATCTCTCTGTGCACGTTTCTTGGGGTGCCTGAGCTTTGTCGTGTTTCAAAAGTTATTGTTTCAACCTTTGAACAGTAAGACTCCTTGACCGGCTTTCTGATTACTGAAGAATCTGGAGGTTTTTCAGACAAAAGCAGTAGCACTGCATCTGATGGCACCTGACAATTATTTGCTACTTCCCGTTTATTCTGGTGCCGCCAAGGCGATCTAGACCGTAGACAAAACAGACTGAAACCCGAAAGAAGTGCAAAAAGTAGGAGAAAGATTAAAATTCCTCGTTTTCGGAATTCCGCAAGAATTGGTGAAGGCGAATTTGATTGAATGCTTTTAAAGGCTGTTGCTGAGGGAGGAATGACAGCGGAGAATATTGAGGTATCAGTCACTGTGGCAGAAGGCACCTTTTTTAATGTTTCTTGGGGCATAGCAACACTATCTGATAGATCATATCCATCTTTGATGAAAAAGTCAAATAATCCTGAAGTGTAGCGATTCCATTTAGTCCAGGCAGAAAGTTGAGATGGAATAGGCGAACTCAGAACGCAGCCAAGTAAAAAAATAGAACTCAGATATAGGGGAAGTGAGAGCGCTGGATTTGAGAGACACATTTGTGGAGTTTAGATATCTGGATGTAAAAATTATTGCCTCGGCTGTTAGATATATGCTCTCAGGGTCCAGCTGTCCACTATGGCGGTTGTGAAAATTTATCTAGAATCATCTTTATTCAGTCAAGTTCCTTTTTAAAGTAAAAAAATATAGATGGGCAAGAAGATGGGAATTAAATACAGTATTATGCATATTGTGAGGGTGCAAACTCAACAACAATAAAGGTTTCTGATAGAAATAGAAAAAATAATTTATTTATTTTTTATCCCAAAATATAGATGAATTGAATAAATTATAAGGATAATAATAATTACTTTAAGGAAAAACAGGGCAAAAAATCATACATGTGTGTGGAAGATTAAATTAGTTAGAATTCTTATTACGCTAAAAGCCTATTCTCCTTAGAAGCTGGAAAATTATGGATTTTGGCATGCAATGCATTGGTTTTAGTTACTATTCATCTAAATTTTTGCAGTCATGAGGCAGTAAACTCCTCCCAGCATGTATCCAATGTGATAGAATTGGTCAGATAACTTTCTTATATATTTTATCACAAAAATGAAAAGATATCTACAAGTTGATTTCAAGATCAGTTCGCGTTCATTTCTTGCTAATATTTTCCACTTCAACATTTTAGGCTAAATTGAAATTTGAAAAAAACAAAGGAGAATATAGGTAAAGAAGACAGACCGGATTCAGTTAAGTATAGGCATTTTAGGCTAAATTCCTCTGTTTGCTGCCTGATCAGGAATAAAGCAAATGCGGTTTTTCGAAGGCTCGTAGCCATTGGTTCGAATGCCGGTTACATTGAGCTATTTGTCAAAGGTATCTTAGCAAGATCAGATCCTCTTAGATAGTAAGGAAATGAGTACTTTCATTTCACTTTAGCGCAAGATCTTCGTTTAGTAAATACTTTGTAAATTTTCACCTATTATGGATTGAGTAAAGAAAGGCTAGAAAAATATGTTAGCAAGATTAAGACCCCAAGTTGTTTGCTTAGGTAAGCTAAGTATCGGACCACAGTTTTAATTCCTATTCTCCTCTATTATATGATGATGTTCTATTCATGAGCTTATTAAATGTATAACTATTTCGTGTCAGCTAGGACATTCTCCTAAGCTTAATTTATTGTTAATTGAATGTTTCTCCATTAACGACCAAATAATTAACTTCTAAATTGTTGAAATTCTAGTTTTAAGTTGAGCATTAGATAATTGGTATTGTTTTCATTTTATGTGAATAAAGTCCCTATAAGGTTGTTATCCCACTCTGTCAAATTTGCGATGAGCATTCGTCTTTTCATAGCATTAAACGACAGCATTAATATAAACAAGTTATGTCTAGTGCCTACATGAAGCAAGAAATAGAATATAGCAAAAATAAATCTAACTCGTTTTCAAAGAACCTTTGCATCATATACCATTGCTGCGATTACTTTTATTTCGTTTAAGAATGCTCTATGAAGCGATTCGTGGGCCGATTTGCCCAGAAGACTGGAGCTGATTCCCATGTTCTAAGGTTGATTACTTTTACTAAATACGAAGCGCACTGGGTTTCAAATAATCTCATGATATTAAATTATTGCGGAGACTTTCACTTCTTATAAAAGTGCATGAAGAAGAGATTCGAAATTATCTATCACCGGAAGGCGACGGCTGATTTCTGCAAATCTCTTGAGTAGACATTTTCACAAGAGATCAAAGTAATCACTACACTAACATTCGACACACGGACCTTCAGCAAATGTGTATCAATAGAAGAAATATGAAGAATTGAAATATTAAATTAATAAAACAAACATGTGTTTATAACTGATTTAAATTTTTCCAGCATGTTAATCAGTCTTATTGTGCCGACTGTTTTCATCCAGCTTGTGAGCTCCATGAATATCTAGACTATTTTATGGCTTTTAAACGATTCAAGTAGTATTATTTTAATACATGAAGTTTAGCTGAAAATGCCTTGGTTTCATTAACGAGTGGTATTCCACTCGTTAAAAATCTAACGTTAGCTCGTACGAAAAATAGAAATATCCCAAAGGACTTTGCCAAGAGCCTCAGACCCCAGTAATCTACAGCGCATATGGTTACAGAAGTACTAAAGTGCCGAACGAAAGCGGCTTTCATGCCATGGTTCGACTCAGGCAAAAGTAGCTGGGACCTTTACGGACCGTTGCTAACCTTATGGTATTGCTCTTAATTTCTACAAATTAAGGATGAAGTTCCATTGAGATATAGTTACTTAAATCCTTTACCGTGCCTCAATTCAGAAATTCGATGAAATGTCTGATATTGATGGAAGTAAAGTATCTAGGCTCATGGATCTAGGCAGAACCGTCACTACAAAAGATTTTGAAAAACTCCATATTATGACTGACCAAAAGTCACCAATTATCTTGGATTAAATAACTAGAATAGATGATAATATAATGCTTAAATATGGGCTTAAGGTGGCGCATGATCAAGCCTCCCAAGTCATAAAGATTCTATATTCTTGACAGCTACTGCTATAGACGACGATAAGGCTAAAGTAATAAATTTGTTCTCAGTGTTTCTTGATTCTGAAAATACAGACACTCTTAAACAAGGATGAAATTTCCCCTTAGTGACGAAAGAAACGTTTTAAACGGTGTTATTGTGTAGCTTGTTAATATCTTTGAAAAATAAGCATAGGAGGATTAACAGAAGATGAGAATAAAAATGATCCTCAGAATCTATGCACGTCAAGAGACCATTAACAGGAGCGAATTTGCGAGGATTACCATAAACTTGCGAAGCCACAACCAAATAGTCGAGCAGGCGGATATGTAGGAGAGACTGTGATAATTGACAGAAAACAATATACAGACAAAATGGAAAGTATTGTAGGCTTTCAAAAAGTTTATCGAATACTAAGAAAGCATTCAATAATGAAGATTGGAGGATTACTAAAGGATGGGCTAAAGGAAATGAATGTAAACTGGTTAATTAGCAAGGAATGATGAATTTCTTAGCCTAACAGGGCACAAGACCACCGACAGAGTGTGGTCTACCAAAGATACACAAAGAAGGATAACCAATGAGGATGATAAGCAACAAAAAGCATGGAGCGACACATAAGCCGGCGAAATTCATATGCTTTAATCTCAGGAAAGTTAACGGCAAATTGTCGAATAATGTGTAGAATTCACATGAATTTTCTCAAAGGATCAGGAACCTGGCAGGAACAGAATTTTCAGTAAATTTTTACGTACAATCCATTTACACATGCAAGAAGGCAGTCAAAGCTCTGCTGGAGATTTTGTAACAAGAAGAGCGTATCCTATAAACAGAGCGGATATGGAAGAAATCTTTAGCACACTTGATAAACCCAACACTAAGGGCGACATACTTCGCATTCATATGAATGACTATTCGGACTACAATGGGATCTCCACTCTCATCTCTTTTATTAAATTCTTAGTTGTACAAATAAAAAGATGAATTCTATAAGTCGCCACTGTAACCAGAAGTGATTATACCATATCTGGACGCCTACGTTATATTTTGCTTTGTTGCTAGGGAAAGGTTATGAGAACTCCTAAATATTATAGACCAAATTGAAAAAGGATAAAAGTCACAATGGTGTTGGAGGATGATGTAGAGTTGATTCGCTCAAACTTGAAACTGGAAAATATTCTGAAATAAATTAGAGAATAATCATCTAAAAGTAAATACTATAGATCAGAATAATGAGGGACTTGAAGCTCAATAGAAAGAGACATACAGCTGTAGAGTTCTAAGAAAAGGAATTAAACAAATTGACTAGAAATTCTTTTAGTAAATGATCCCTGAGAAGACATACGAAGAAATATAAGGGTCATAAAAAGTAGATTACAACATAGATCATATTGATAAAATGGACAGCACACTGGGCGACCGAAAATGTATACAATATTAAGGAAGAATCCAGCCAAGAAGATCAGCGGAATGCTAAATGGCAATATATTATGAATGAAAAAGTCGACCAAAAGTGGATATGCTAGCATTCCTCTGAATTAAATAGGAAACTGCGACCGATATTAAGAATATTAAGAAGCGAATATGCAAGTTATAGACAAAGAGAAAGCAACACTCCTCATTAGTTTGCGGTCACAACACACGAAAGTTGAAAACTGCCATCTCCCGGAGTATAGCACATAGCATGCAGCAAATGTGCGCGGAAGAATCTTGGTAGAACAGTAATAAAAAACGTATTACAATTATATTCACCTACAAGGCTGTGCAGAAACATAGATAGGGTAAAATCCGAAATAACATAACATGGACCAGATACAGGATCTACTGAAAGGCAACAGGAGGTCTAGTCGTATATGGTTAAAATATCAGGAAACGCAAGCTTAGAGAGGTCTCCAATATCATGACGGAAGAAAAAGCCAATAAACTGTAGACTTGAAGAAGGAAAAACTTGTAAAAACTTTGCACATTGCTTAAGCAAACTCGGAGAAGATCAAGAAGCAGTAAGATCAGAAAAAAGGAGATGACTAGATCAAGAAAGTAGTTTGAATAGAAACAAGAAAAGTTGCAAGGAAGA